GGGGCATCAGTGGCAGCATGGCCCAGGCGGGCATCCAGGGTGGGCAACAAGCACCTCCTCCCCTCTGGCCAGGCCAGGGCCAGGGGCAGGCAAGGGGCTCCCTGCAGGTGGCGGCAGCTTCCCAAGGTCATCTGCTGCCAAGCAGCCCCAAAGGTGGCCCCACGCCCCGCTGTCTGTGGGTGGCCGCCAGTACCAGTGCCACTGCAACAGGAGGCAAAAGGACAGCCATGCCCTGCCAAGGCTGGAAGAGGGTGGGCAGACAGCTGGAGGTGGTGTAGAGCCTGTGCTCTGCTTCCCCACCCTCAAGGCTGGCCCCAGCTCTGGCTCATCCCACAGCACTGGGGGACCACAGCCGCAGCTGTATAACGCCCTCTGGCCAGGCTGAGCCAGGGCTGAGCTGCCTTCACCTCAGCAGTGCTCGTGTCCCCTGGCTCACCCTGCACCTGCTGCAGAGACAGGGTGTGCCCAGCCACAGCCCCCTGGCAGGCACAGAGGGAACTTGCCCTTACCTGGTGGGGCTCCCCAGTTTTCTGTTTGCCCAGGGCCCCAATAAATCTTAATCCACCACTGCTCTCATCAGTGAGAGTCACATGAGCAGAAAGCCTAAAGGGCAGGACTTCAGATTTGGAGCAACTAAAGGCTTGGCTTAAAGGATCCCATAAGATACGACTAACACAAATACTGATCATTATGGCTGCCCCAAAACCTGACAAAAAACAGCACTTTAAACTGGGTGCATTCCCGCACCAAGCCCAGCACCCACACAGAAGAGGCATTATATTAACTGGACCCAGTTCGCCTAACATCTCTATAGGCTGGGTGATTTAGTGGAGCTATTTTGGCACTTTTATCTAATAGCTGATTGAATCAGCTATTAGATAAAAGAACCATAAAGCCTTGCTGAAGTGCCTGATCTATACAGACACAGTGGAGCCGGGTCGAAGCAACCACGCTGCTTCTTCTGGTGAAACAGTTTGTTTTTGTTTTTTTTAACATCTGTAAGCAGCTTATGTTTCATAGTTTCTAGGGTCGGAAGGGACCTGAGCAGATCATCTAGTCTGACCCCCTGCCATGGCAGGACGAGCACTGGGGTCAAATGACCCCAGTAAGGTGGTCATCCAACCTCCTCTTAAAAACCCCCAGGGTGGGAGCCTGCACCACCTCACTTGGAAGCTGGTTTCAGACTCTAGCC